GCCCGTACAGCAGCGGGGAACCTGCGGGGGGACAGCGCTCACACACGGGCCGGCCCCCCGCACAGCAGGCACCCGAGAAGGGGCCGGGGCCACCTGGGGCTTCTGCCACTCCCCGGCAGCCACAGAATGCCGAGATGGTTTAGTTTGGAAGGAATCTTAAAGGCCATCTCGTCCCACGCCCTGCCATGAGCAGGGACACCTTCCACCATCCAGCTTGCTCCAAGCCCCGTCCAACCTGGCCTTGAACACTTGCAGGGATGGGGCGTCTCTGCGTGGAGACAAACAGCAAACTTCAGGCTGCAAACACCCCCAAAAACAAGCGTGTGGGCGGGTGTCAGGAGCGCAGCTCCTGCCTGGATAACGCCTGGTATTTGGCATGCCAGGGGATTTGTTCCCTGCAGCTGTATCTGCCACAAGCACAGCAGCCAGATGTGGAGCTGGTCTGGGATGGTGTTTGCCACCGTGCCCTTGCCAGTGCAAATCGGGTGTTTTTCAGCATGACACTCCACACACCTGTGTCTGTGAAAGGCCCGACTGGAGCAGTATCCATCCTGGATTCCCGTGTTGTTGGCACCGGATCTGTCAGTGGAGAATGCTGGATGCATTGCAGCTCCTGGGAGCTGCCCTGGGCATCCAGAAGATGGGGTCTGCTCTGCCAGCCTAGACTCACTGATTATCCTGTGTGTGTCTTGCCAGCAGGCCTGGGGCAGCACTGGGAACTCGTGTCCCCCTGACCATCGTCCTACAGGTTCCTGGCAGCCCTGGATGCATCATGCCTGACTACAGCATGGCCTGGGAATGCTTTGGCTTTGTCCTGCTGGCACTTTCCTAGATTTCCAGAGGACACCTGCACTCCCTCTCTCCTATGGTGACTCCCTGCCTGGCCTGGGGGGGCTTTGGCATCAGCTGCACCATAAACTCCCTGAGGTGTGGAGGCCTGTGCCAGGTCTCCTTCCTTCTGAAGCTCTGGCTCAGGCAACTTCCTTCTGAAGCTCTGCAGACTCAATAGTTCTGGTTCCAGAGGGACACAGACGACATTTTCGTGTCCCCTCCCATCATCAGGCACATTCTCAAGCATGGAGGGTGCCAGCCTCTGATATTGCCTCTCTGGGTAACAATCAGGACACAATTCATATTCAGCTTAGGTGTCTGATCTATCTATGGAAGAGCAAACTCCCTGCCTTGGTCTTCTCCTGCCACAGAAATGAATAACCCTGGCCTGGGCACTCACCTGTCATTGTGTGCTCCATGTCACTGCTCCCACCCTGACCTGTGGTTGGGTGGTGTCCGCCCGTGGTCCCCACATTCCTCCACAAGGCCACTGTTGTTGTGGGCAGATCTGCAAGGTGAGGGGGAGGGAGGGAGAGGCTTACACAGGGGTTTGACCACGTTGGTGATGCTGCTGTGATACAGAATTCCCCAGAGGCGGGACAGGAGCAGGAGGAAGCAGCCCCCAGGCAGCTGACAGGAGGGGGATGCTGTGGCAGCAGCGACAGGCAGCACCTGCAGCTCTGAGCCCGTTCCCGTGCTGCTCCCTCCAATGTGTGACCGCTGGGAAAAGCAGCACAGGGCTTCAGCCAAAGCTTCGTGCCTGGGAGGGAGCTCAGCAGGCTCTGCCTCTTTCACAGGCCACGCTGGGCTCCCTGTGCTTGGCTGTGCCAGCAGGGCCTTCACGGCTCTGCTGATGGAGTAAGCAGGCAAGGAGAGCTGCGAGTTTTCCAGCGGGCAGCCAAGAGGGAATGGCTGAGATTGAAAAGGCCCCTGGGGCCCTGAGTCCAAGCTGTCCCGCACCGTCCTGCAGAGGCTGGAGGAGGCAGAGCCCGCTGTGTGTGAGGTGCAGTGTGTGTCCCTGAGACACGCAGCTGTGCTGGGGAGCACAGGCCAGCTTGGTTTGTTCTGCCGCTGAATTACCACTGACTTGTTCCTTGTTCTCAAAACAAAGCCCCGACTCCTTGTCGGAACTTGCTGAACTGCAGTGGGCAGCATTACAGAACCAGGGAGAGCTTGAAAAAACCCACAGAGGAATAAATAAATGTTTGAAGTCGAAATGGTCTTTTGTATTAGCGAAGAACAGTTCCTCAAGGAGGAGGAAACGGAACAGAGGCAATAAAGAAGGGCAGAGAGCGGAGCCAGCGGGGAGGGATGTGTCAGAGTGCGTGGGGCGTTTCCTTCTTTCCGGGCAGGGAAGTAGGATGCTGTTCCTCCGCACTG